CGCCCAGCGCAGTGACGGTATCTCCCCTTGAGACTCGGCTCCCCGGGCTGGACCCCGAGCTCCGCGCTCAGCCTGAGCTTGGCAAAGCTGCCCCGGGAGAGACGGAGGCTTTGTGGGGAAAAGGCTGAGTGGGACCCAAGGGCTGGGCTGGCTAATGGGGATTCTCCTTTGCTGTGTTACAGGAGAGTCGCCCACTGACCATCCTCACCTACGTGGGCCTGAGCCTCTCCCTGCTGTGCCTCCTCCTCGCCATCCTCACCTTCCTCCTGTGCCGCTCCCTCTGGAACATCAGCACCGCCCTCCACCTGCAGCTGTGCCTCTGCCTCTTCCTGGCCGACCTGCTCTTCCTCAGCAGCCAGGGGGTACGGCCCCATTCCCCCCGATCGGCCCCTCCGCTCGCAGCAGGGCTGGGGTGTGCAGCTGTGAACCCCCAGGGCTCCCTGGGTTCTGGGTGTGCAGGACACAGGCGGGATTCCGGGGGGACGTTCCCACTCCCTGTGAGGCTCCTTTACACTGGGCACAGGAGCCTCAGTCTCACTGTCCCCAGGAATTTGATCAGTCCTGTCCCTGTCGCCATTTCCCTGGACCGTGATTCCTCTCCTAGGTGACTTGCCCAGGGCTCACTTGAGTCTCCTCTGCTCTGGGCACAGGAGCCTCAGTCTCACTGTCCCCAGGAATTTGATCAGTCCTGTCCCTGTCGCCATTTCCCTGGACCGTGATTCCTCTCCTAGGTGACTTGCCCAGGGCTCACTTGGGGGATGTGCGGCAGAGTCAGGAACAGAACCTGGCTCCCCTGAGCCCTGCTCTGCTGCTCCAGCCAATAATCTCTGCTGCCTTCCTGCATCTGCAGTGTGCAGCCCTCCCCCCCCTAGACTGAGGAACCTGCCGGCTCTGCAGCGCTGTAACTGGCGAGCTGTGTTAACATGAATCCTGATGTGTCCCCCATGCAGGTCTCCCCCATGTCCAGCCGTTCCCATTCCAGCTACAGTGTCCCTGAGGTCTCTGTGGCCTGTGCGGTCATTGCCGGCCTCCTACACTACCTCTTCCTGGCCTGCTTCACCTGGATGTTCCTGGAGGGGCTGCACCTCTTCCTCACAGTCAGGAACCTGAAGGTGGTGAATTACACCAGTGCCAGCCGGTTCAAGAAGAGACACATGTACCCGTTTGGCTACGGATTCCCAGCCCTGATCGTGGCTATTTCTGCTGCAGTGAATCCTAAAGGCTACGGAACTTCCGACCAGTAAGTGCAGCGCCCACCGCGAAGGGGAGCTGGGATGTGGCCTCCGTGTCTGTAGCCTGCATTGCCCTGCTCACCCTGCCTGGGAGCTGTCCCCCTGGGGCCCTCCCTCCGCCCCAGGAACACTAAGCCGCCCCCAGCACAGTAGCTAAGTTGCCCACGTGCCAGGCAGCTCCAGTCCTCGTCCCACTGATGCTGCAAAACAAGCTAGGAAGGTCCAGGCTGAGTTTGTGGTGCTGGGGAGAAACGTACCTCTGTACCGTGGGCAAATCCCTGAGGGTCTCCCCTCTAAAGCAAGCAACTCTACTAAAGGAGGGTGGGGCGTGGTCTAGAACCACCTGCTGGTGTAAATCAATGTCACGTCGCAGGGCAGTGATCACATTCCTGTCCCGACGCTCTCACGTCGGGGGTAATGCGCTTCTTCCTCCCTGCCTGTAGCTGCTGGCTCAGCCTGGACAGAGGCTTTCGCTGGAGTTTCCTGGGGCCAGTCTGTGCCATAATCCTGGTGGGTACCTCACAGAACCCCAGCTCCCTTCTCCCACCTCGGCAGCCCCACTGATTTCAGGAAGCAGGGAGGAGAAGGTGTTTCAATAAAACACAAGAAAGCCCCAGTTAGGACCCACCTGGCTCATCCACTTTGGCCGGTCGCAGGATCTGTCCCTGTGCCCTGTCCCCAGCCCACAGCCTTTACTCGGGCACAGCTACCAGAGACGTCAGCAGGAGCTTGGCCAAGAGACAGAAAGTCTGGTCCAGTCTAGCTAATGGCCCAAGGAATGGGGAAGGGAGAGGGCTGCACCATACCCTGATTAAGTGTGTGTGTGGGGGGGGAGGTGGGAAACAGATGTCCCTAAATATTCTTCCCTAGCCCGTGGGGAAGTAGGATGGGTCGAGGGAACAGGAATTTCTTACAGCCGGAAAGTTCAGGAAATATTCTAGAGGCAAGATCTGGACTCTCTGAGCCAAATCCTGCTCAGTTACACCAGTGTGAACCCTATTTACTCCACTGGAGTGGCTCCATATTGAACACTGAGCAGAATCTGGCCTCTGTGATCCCATTGATCCATCTCAGCCCTGGCTCTGCCATCAACTCCGTGTGTAGGGAGAGACCAAGAGCTGCCGGGGACCTTATAGGAGAGGGGATGATTCCCACTGGCCATGAGCAATCCCAGTTCTGCAGCATTCGGCTCGGTCCCCTGGGATCGTTCTCTGACTGAGCTGGACTGACCAGCCCCGGACGGGACATTTCACAGGAAACATTTCCCGCTGCCCACAGATAAATGTGACGTTCTTTGCCCTGACCCTGTGGATCCTGAGAAGCAGTCTGTCCTCCCTCAATGCGGATGTGTCCACCCTCAGAGGCCACAGGTGAGAAGGCATCGGAGCAGTCGTGGAGGGTCAGGTGTCTTGGTTTGGATGTTCCTGGGCATGGAGAGGGAGTGAGGGACTGCAGGAGAGGGGCAGCGTATCTAGGATCCATGGGAACGAGTCCCATTGTGTTCGCATTGACAGTAACCCCGTCCCACACAGGAAAGCAGGGCCGGTAGCTCCATCCCACTCTGGCCAGACCCTGCTGACCCCGATGCTCCCCACAGGGTTGTTGTAACGGGCTCTCTCTGCCTTTCTCCAGACTAATGACCTTTAAAGCCATCGCCCAGCTCTTCATTCTGGGCTGCACATGGATCCTTGGTCTTCTCCAAATCGGCCCAGCAGCCACGCTCATGGCGTATTTATTCACCGTCATCAACAGCCTGCAGGGAGCCTTCATCTTCCTGGTGCACTGTCTCCTCAATCGCCAGGTAAGGCCCATGGCCCGTCAGCGCCCACCCAGCACCTTCACTAGCCCCACGGTGGCCATGTCTGATCTCATCAGAGTTCCTTACGCGGTGCAGTGACCGTGTCCTTGACTCCCAGGTGAGAGAGGAGTACAGGAGATGGATCAGGGGATTCCGACCACCCGGCTGGAAATCTCAGACAGACGATCTCTCCATGTCGACTGTCCCCACCACTGGCACCAAGGCGGTAAGAGATCCTCTGGTTTGCTTCTACACCCGCCTGCGACACCATCCCCTCTAGCTTTGCTGTACAGGTGCTTTGCCCTGCGAGAGACCCGCGATTTGTTCTGAGCCATCTGGGCACGTCCTTGGTCTCTCTCCAGGGGCGTCCTTCATCCTGGGCACAGCACAGAATGGCCTTTCCTATGCCACCGTAGCCCCTTCCCCGGGCTCTCTGGAGAGTTCCAGGGATCACTTGCTTGGGGCAGGCGGGTGCTGGCTCTGGCAGTGTAATGATCTGAATATCTCCCAGCGTCCCCTGGGACGGAAGCCTTGTGAGTGCAGACGACCCATCCCCTCGAGCAGTCAGCACCATGGAGAGTTTCCCAGGGCTTTGTGTGTCGCCTCCCTGGGAAAACCTGCCTGTTTGCACAGAATGACCTCCATGCCCTTGGTATCTCTCTTCATGTCCCTGCTTTTCTGGCCAGGTGGAACCCTGCTGCCATGTGGAATCGGCAGCAGCCAGGCTCGGGGTCAATCCCTCGGGGTCCAGTGCGGACCAGAACTGGCTGGAGCCCCCAGCCACTAATGTGGTAAAACTTAACACCAACCCAGATTCCTCCAGGAGGCAACACGCTCCCCCCGCTGCAAGCCCTGAGTCTGTGTAACAAAGGGAACTTTTAATAGAAAGGGGGAAAGAACCGAGCATTCATCTGGGAAATCCAGCAATAGACACGGACTCCATGAGTGCTTGGGGGCTGGTCCACCCACTGGGAACAACCTGTTCAGTGCCCAGCACCCACTAGCAGCTCCCCCGTCAGCTATCTCCTCAATCAGCTCCTTGAGCATTCTGGGATGCATTTCATCAGGCCCTGCCATTTCCACATTTTCTGAAAAACGGACAGACCCTTTCCTCGGGCTTCCTCTCACTTCTAATGTATTTCTAGAATGTTTTTTTTTGTCGCCCTTTATGTCTCCAGCCAGTTGGAGC